TAACTCTTAATAGTGTGATCGGTGCTCTCTATAAAGGCCGATCAGGAGAACCGATCAGATGACGTAAAATACATGAGACTTTTCTCTGTGCGCGGCAAAACAAGCTCGCCAAAATGGCTTCACCAGTCTGGCAGTTTTTTTAAAAGGTCCCATGTCATGCTTTTCCGGTTATTACCCGTCCCCTTGTGTGTTATGTAGCTTTTCATTTATGTAAACGGTCTGCAAAGTCAAAAAGTACACCCTGTAGCGAGTAAAACTAACACAGAAAAGACCTGTCCATGCTGCCGCAGAACGCCTCGTTGGAGATTTTGCTTTTTCCATTTTTTCTTCCTGGTCATAGTGACGTAACGGCTCCTCACACACACCAACTCACTCAGCCTTATCATTCAGCCGCGGCTCCGCTGTCTCGCAGACCCCACGCAGCAACCAGGAAACGACACCAGTAATCCAGCTCACACTGTCCGCTCCAGCAGCGAGCCCCGCAACGTCCCGCCAACACGGCACCCAGACCAGAGTCCTGCATCGGGTCGGGTATCCGCGGGTACCCGACGGGTGACCCGCAAAAAAGGTGATTTGCGGGTGGTATTTTTTCAAACGCTTTTTTCCGGGTTCGGTTCTGGGTAAAACAAAGATGATGCGGGTCGGGTTGCGGGTGTTGCATACTAANCTCTCCCCCAGTGGGTTACAAAATAAAATGGCTGCGTGTCTATATGGTCAGGAATGCTGAAACATGTGAATGTTAAAACAAACTAATGGTAGTAGTCTACCTATTCTTCATTACTTCAGTTCTAAGTTAATAGGCAAAACAAAGACACCCTCCTTAACCACTATAGAGCAGAGTCCTGCATCGGGTCGGGTATCCGCGGGTACCCGACGGGTGACCCGCAAAAAAGGTGATTTGCGGGTGGTATTTTTTCAAACGCTTTTTTCCGGGTTCGGTTCTGGGTAAAACAAAGATGATGCGGGTCGGGTTGCGGGTGTTGCATACTAAATATATATATATATTATAATAATTTAGTTTAATGTTTAAATCCTCAGACCTCTCCCCCGCGGGACCGAGCATAATCATAACCTCTGCAGCGCATCAATCTGCTGCTGAGCGCGCCACATTCTGAATGGCTGAGGTGAAGCTCTCTAGCGGAGAATACAGGATTTTCAATAACTCTTCCTCAGGAGCGAAATCCAACGTCTGGGAGGCTTTTGGTGTCATCCTAGATGCAGAAAATAACCAACATCNTAAACTTTGAAAGCCTATTGGAATTAGCACGCAGTTCAGTAACAGTTTTCAAGGGGACAATATTTACTCAAATTGATGGGTTTGGATGATGGGCCAAAATCGTGTCACAGGCACTTTAAACAAACGTAACATGCAACGTTAGCCTAATCCAAAATGCTCTACTACGGCTTACCTTTCATATGGCTCGTCAGCGCAGACTCTCCCATCGCGAATAATTGAAATTCTTTGTGGCAAACTGTACAGAAGGCGAATCGTTGGGTTGATCCTCGTTTTAGCCACAGCTTGTATTTCTTTTCGGATAGCCAACGCTCGTTAAAACAGCAACCTCCTGGCATACTGTCATTCTCTCATTAGAATGCCCAGGTCACACAAAATAAAACACTTGCAGGTCGCGAGCATAGCGCGGGAAGGCCGGAGCGGAGCTGTTTTATGTAGAAGCGAAGCAACTAAGCTCGCTCCGACTTCTTTATTTTCTTTTAATCTAAAAAGCGAACTATTCAGTCAGACAGCAATTTATTGTAAAAGTAAAGCATTTACAATTTCAAGCACTTTATCTCAAATCCAAGCACCATTCCCAAAATTCAAGCACTTTTCAAGTCATGAAAACACCTCGTAAAAATTCAAGCATTTTCAAGGATTTCAAGCACCCGTACGAACCCTGCATATACTACCGGTCATAGTCCGGTAATTACCAGCTAACGGAAACTCTGCTACACAATTCACAATCGAAAACTTTAAATGGAAGATCCCCATAGCCCCCACCCACCCTGTGATCGGAGCATCCCTAGCTGTAGTAGTCAATGCTTCACATCAAACGACACTGTTCCAGTTTATTTGCGTCAACTAACCCTCTGTCCATACTTGGATGTCCTTTCCAGTACGCTTTTCTCAGTTTTACCACATCTAAACAAAACACAAGATGCACTTTAATGGTGCCCCAACACATTCAAATGGATATAAGTGAAATAAAATTGGCAGTAAAGATGCAGACAGGCAGGCGGCACTACAGCAGGGACAGAGCATGTGCACTGATGGAGCTTTTATGGAGCAGGGGCCACAGTGACAACAGCACTAACAGCCCCATAATGTAGCGATTAGCTTCAAATGGGACGAGATGTGGTGGTGCTCTGGCAGCACCCTGGTGACAGCACTGCTCTCTGGGGAGCAGGGAGCCTGTCAGAGGGGGGCTCCATCACTGATGCTGCAGGGCTGGAGCTGCCAGGGCCTTCAGGCCAGGAGCATCCACCCCCGACACCACTCCTCTGAGGAGATATAAATCACCTGCTGGTGACAGCTTCAGCGTGGAGAGGAGTCACCTTGGGTGGAGCCGATGGCTTCTACTCTGGAAGACATTCACTCTCTAATGAGTCTTTTTTTCTGCCCTTATCGCCATTTATTCTCACATTCACACACTGAATGGCTATAGCATACAGAGAGCTCTGAGCTCAGCAGCTGTCTCCCTTCCTAGTGAGGGGTCCTTCTCGGTGATTACAGTGGCGTGTCACTATATGGTAGCCACGTATCGCCCCAAGAAGACAGCCATTACTGCTGCTCCACCTCTCGTATCTCTGAGAGCTGCGTGGGAACATCATAGAACAAATGGCAGATAATGGGGCTGAAAGAACATACAAGGAAAAAAATAAAAGCTGCACGTGTATGTGGAGAAAAGGGGGGTAGGGTAACCACATCCCGCTGAAGGCTCTCATCCCTGTCGGACAGGTTGTGTACAGTCTGATGCGTCCTGTCTGTCAAACAGCCTCTGTCACACACCAGTAAGAGTTTTGGCTTCAGAGAGTCTGTCATCTTCCTCACTACCCACCGCTGGGACACACACATTTATGTTTACAGGGATGAAGGAACTTGTCATGTGTTGTGTTTTTGAGGTCATGGTACACTGGTTGTATTTCTATCACAGCAGGGGATGTGCACTTTGACACCGGTCGGGGATTGACAGGAATTTGTATTAAATGTATTCAATTTCCTCTTCTGGCATTAATGTTCCTTTTCGGAGAAATTGTAATAAAAGATGAAAAAAGCTACAGTATATGAATATATATTCTCTTATAGGAGATCATGGTATTGTCTCAAGGTATATATTGTAGTGTCATATCCATAGACTGGTCATATCACACAGGGAATGTGTGAAATGTACATAATTAAAATATATTCCTATTTTTTCCTCAAATATACCACCATTTGAATAACTGCTTTTTTTAAAGCAACAGCATTATTATTTATATTTATGCAACAACTTATTTGAGGTCACAAGTCTACTGCCCTTGGCTCCAAACCTTCACTGCATGTTTTCAGATCAACAATATGTGGAGCTTACCGAGAATCCTTGGGCTTTGCCTTTCACCTATCTGTGGTTGCCAACAGTAGAAATCAGGAAATATTTGACAAATCAATGAATAAAGTATTGAGAGGGCACTGTATCTTCATATTTTATTTGCAGGCATTCTGTGAACTTTAAAGGCTTTTTGCCCCCTGTGCCCCCATTAATGTATGACTGTGGCTGTCTGAAGATGCCTCGGTCCAGACCTTTACATCCGCCCAATCCACTTTATGTCTGGCATGAAGATATGAAACAACGGTTTCTCGGTTGAAAATGCAGACAACCTTTCTGCATATTTATTGTCATATTTTGTGAAAAGCTGTCATCACTGCAGACATGTCTGGCATTTGAATATGCAAACTATCAAGATGTTACATTTTCATTCCATGTGTGTCTTTATTTGAGAGACGCAGAGAAAAACGATTCTTCCTGAGGCTATTTCAGAATGAGGTCTGTGGTGATTAAACTATAGCATTAAATAAAAAAATAATACATTTAACCTTCCAAATGGCAAAGACAATGCCAGTACAATTGGGATTATATGTGATTATTTTCCTCCATGACTCTGTATTAGTTTAAGCCATATCTGCTGACTTTAGTTTCAAGTATTATGTGTAGTAAATAATTGGGATATACATTCTGAAATCCTCTGTATATCAACAAACTACAGCTAGAATGAATTTTGTAACAAGTTATAGGTAAGTTTTCAGAAGAGCAAATGCCTCCAAAATCTCTATATGACATGAATGTCAAACTTGGTTTTTCTTCCTTACTGCAAAAGATAAATGATTGTACTAAGATAACTAGCAACATGAATCTTCAAACAACATCCATCCAGGTTCAATAACACGCAGCCCAGAGAAGCATGATGCATGTGAAGAGATCAACATGAAGAGTAGGTGCTG